CCCTGAGATACTGACTCGCCCTTGACTTCATGGATGATTCGGTTTCTATTAACGTAAATCTACCGAGAAGTAAGTAGGTATTATAATAGAGACCTTTCATTCAGCGTCATATTTGAAGTGCCTATAAGCCGTAGAGGCAAGACAACCTTATGCGACATGACAATGACGGAGGAGATGGGATGAGCGGCAATAGGCGCAGCTAATGACTGGGGAGTAAATGGCACTTTTTGCGGAATGGTTGAGTGGGCCGTTAGGCGATTGGTCGAACACTTCTGCGTGAGTTAGGATGGCGTTTGCGTCTTGTAAAGTGCTAATCCCCCGAAAGAGGTACTTGTATGAATGTTCTGCACACACTCTCCATAACGTTTTTTTTGGAGTTCTTTTTTCCCTTTGAATTTAAAATGACCGACTGTGAGCGAGGACCGACCGTGAGTCAAGGGTCGGACAGCGAGCTGGAAGAGAATGTGGACAGACCCATCAATTGAGAGTTGCAAGTGCACGACCGTGCGGACGCTAACAATTTGTATATTTTTTCTGTCGTGACTACATTCTGGTTTGAACCTTATCTATAAAGTTTTCGCAAAAGCCATCATTCTACGCCATGTCTGACTGTGTTGACGAATTGGATGTTGGAACGATGAAAAAGGGCTCTAAATCCGTTGGGCCTGGACGATCGTTAGAAAATGTACAAGGATGTCCGACTTTTGAAGGTCCTTTTTCAGACGAAGTTAAAAGGACAGCCGGCTCGGGTACTATATTTATTGTAGTGCTGAAGTAACGCAGTTATCATCCATATAAATATTTGGGCTTAAGTCTTGTATTGCTTTTTCGACATGAAACCTCAGGCAACCCTTCGTCGAAATCTGAAAAACACTCAACTTCATCCGAAACCCATTGTTCATATGAAAATAATTAATCAAGGGGCGCTTGATGATTTTCACAATTTTATGTCTCGTTACGGATCATTTTTTTCTGTTCTTGGTGCCCTTCTTGACGGAAAGTTGCCAACGCTTACGTCTCAGCAGTGTGAGAAGCTCATGCCTCTCATTAACCTGGTTGCCACTGAGGCCGAAGACAGGCACTAACGACGTTTCAATTTTATATTAAAAAACGTTCCTAAGAGTAGACAGCCAATAAATGTCGCTGTTCATTTCCTTTATTAATGCGGCTTCAACTTTAGGGTCGCTGAAGTTAAAAGGCTTTCATCTAGGAGCAAGAATCAATCAATTCTTGTCAAACTCTTTGCGTCGATAGAAGTGTATTTTATTCTCTCGCTTTTGGAGCCCTCGACTCAATATCTCAGGGAAAATAAACTTTTTATTAGTCGAGGTCAAACTCCACTGCAACGAAGAGTTTCTCCCCCATTAACAAACGTAAAGCCACCCCCGAATTCTACTCATATGCCTTTTACCTCTAAAGCAGTTTCTCCATCTGGTGTCGACCAAATCTCCCCACTATGTACAGCGGCCCCAGTTCTATCTAGCTCTTCGACTGATCACATTATCACAGAGACAGTTAAAACTAGCCTCATTAAAACTCCCCCACGAAGCAAGGATTGTTCAAATGCGGCTCCCAAATTTACAAGGGAGCTTGATATTAACAGTAAAGGTGAGCCAGTCCTTGAAGCACAACGGACTACCAGCACTCAGAATAGTGATTTAGTTAATAAACTTACATCGAATCCACCCCGTTCCCAGGCCTGGCCATTAAGGTCTGACCTAGTGGTTAGGTCCAGTAAGCTATATGATAGTTCAGGGAGATCTTATAGCGGCCTACCCTCCCCTAGTAGCCTTTACTTTCCTTCTAGGCCCCCTTCTCCTCCCCTTCCTCCACAATTTAACTACCAACAAGCATATCCATGTTCTGACTCCCCTAGCATTCCAATGTTTGAAAACTATACCCCCACATCCTTTAGGTCTCATACTCAGACTTCGCTTTCTGACTCCCCGTACGTCAATAACTCTAGACTAACTGGCACTTATTCTTCAAGTGTCATTAACTCACAGCTTACATATCCGTCTCCATTTTTTTTAAAATACCGCCGAAACACATTAGATATTATATTATTGAATGCCAGGTCTGTTATAAACAAGATGGCCCAAAGCAGAGCCATTGCTCTGGAAATGACGCCTGATATTATATGTGTAACAGTATCTCGGACCCATTCTGTAGTTCCTGACTCTGCCCTTCTCATGGATGACTTCGATTTTTACCATCAAGACCGCACAACTGGGTGTGGGGGCGGTTGTCTTCTTTATCTTAGATCCTACCTAAAGCACTCTCCCTATTACTTGGATGTTTCCTCATTCAGGGGAAACTTCTGCTTTGCATCTGTTATTCTCTCGCCGCAAAGAAAGGCAATTATTGGCTGTATATACAATCCCCCAAATTCTTTAGCCAGTGATGATTCACAACTCTGTGAAATTTTTAAATTAATTTCGGGAGC